AATCGAATTCGAGCAGCTGAAGATACTGATTTAAAACGTTATAGACGATACACCAAACGTGCTGGACCTGCCTCAGTGAATCTTGAAGATTTATTTTAAAATCCCCACCATTTAAACTGAATATAAATCTTCCAATGTCCTTGTCGATCCTACCATAGTCCCGTTCTATGTATTATATATCGGGTAGCCGATCATTTGTTGTTATGTATGTCAATAGTACACAGTTTTCTTTCACTAGGTTGTTTTCTGTATATGTAAAAGAGCAGTCGGTGATTTTCATTCCATACTCTTCATCATGCTCTCCTTCTTTTCCACAGTTGAAATCTTTTATTACCCTACCCATATTTCGTTTTATGTGATAAAACCATCGCGCTTAATTTTTAAAAAAATTACGTATGACTTGTGAACGCAGTCGTAAGTTCATTTCTTATGAAACTTAAGCTCTGTCTCTCACTCTGTCATGTATGTGCCTTAAATTTTGATTTACTGTTGGACGTTTTCAGTCCTACAATCAGTAATTATGGTTTGTATTGTTTAACCAAAGTTTGTATAAATAAATTACTATTTAGCAGATTTATACATTTTCTGTTTTTAGTGGAATTTGTTTATTGTCTTTCATGAGCATATGTGATTTCCATCGTAACTTGTCATGGAAGTTAATCGATGTGTTTTGTTGCTTCTCACGATTATTGTCTTATCATTTCAGTGTTATAACTAGTTTTTTTCTTAAAATAAATTGATAACTGGGGTTCTGTACTATGCTAGCTATGATGATTCTACAAAGTAACATTAACTATATGTTTACAATTCAAGTGATGATTATTTTTAGGCGAATTTCGACCCATTCTGCAAGCACTTGGCTTTAAACCATACCCGATATGTGAAGGTTAGTAATACTATCATATTTCCCAAATGAAAGCAGGTAAAGTGAGATCCTAATTTTGGACTTACTGGCTGAAAGTCAAAAGCCTTAACCATTACTACACCGCTCCATTATTTAGTCAATCCTGTGTTGAAAATAGTCACATTAAAGTAAAGCTTTAAATTGACCAACCATTATCAACATAGAACATGGTACAAGTATACATCAGCTCACGTTGTTAAACCTTATAACACCATAACAAGTAAAAATTTAGAAAAAGTGAAGGACACGGGAAATATCTAAACATTTAGTGAAGCTGGATTATTTAATTGGAATAAAATCATGATCCATTTTACCTCTTAGAAGTTTAATTATGTTCGGAATAGTAATGAGTAACACCGGATTTTTTTGGAGCTTCTTTTGAGGTTGTTTGTAAGCTGGGGATTACTTCCATTTCTTTCTGAATAGATAATAACTAATCAGTTCCATATTTTATGAACTTTACTAAGTTCGATCCCTAAATCATCCGACAAATATATGCTAGTCCCTTTGAAGTGCTATGTAGTGGATTACATAATCGGTACAGTCATTGATGTGCGGAGACGCCATGTGCGACTGTACGAGGTAGTAGCTCATATCTGATTTATCATTTTGGGAAATATAACTAGTTAAGTCATTCTTCTCTCTACTTGTTAGTGATGAATGAAAACAAATTACTAAGAAACAAATTGATTCTTGGTGTTACTGGCAGTGTTGCTGCAATCAAAATACCATGTTTAATAGAAAAACTTCTAGAAATAGGATTCGAAGTCCGTCTAGTTGTTACAGACAATTCACTAAACTTTTTTTCAGTAGACACTGTAAGTGTCCCAGTGTACAAAGACATAGACGAATGGACAAGCTGGGAAAAACGTGGTGATCCTGTGTTACATATTGAGGTATGAATTTATGATTATTTGATTATATTGTCGTTATTATTATAGCTTAGAAATTGGGCAGATATACTACTAGTGGCTCCGTTGAGTGCTAATACAATGGCAAAGGTGGCATATGGACTAGCCGATAATCTACTTACAACACTTGTACGTGCATGGTGGTTTCCCAATGAACAAAACATTGTCAATAAACCAGTATATTTTGCTCCTGCTATGAATACTTTAATGTGGCAACATCCATTTACTCATGAACAAATTGAACGTCTAGTTGGTAGACTTCATTGGAAATGCATAGATCCTGTTCAAAAGACATTGATTTGTGGAGAGACTGGTATTGGGGCAATGGCAGAAGTCAGTGATATTGTGAATTGTTTGAAACAAGAACTAAATAAAAGCTTGTTTTAACTGGGTTGTTATAAAACATCAATAGAATTATATTATAGGAATGATCCAGTGAGAGTCAAGAAAATGACTACCAGGTTTTTTACGCTAAATCTCAAAATGGGTGAGGTTTGACTTACCTCCAGTAGAACGAACAGTTTAAGTACCTTTTTACAGTGCTCAGGAAGTTTAAAGTGGCTAGTGAAACTTTTTGTGATCAGAGTAAAAGTAATATTGTTAAATGTATAGAGAACTCACAGATTTACACATAAACTTTGTGGTAAACCCAAAAAGAAATTGTTTTGTTAGTGCCTCACCGAATAAAGAGCGACCTAATGAACCAGGAATGTTGAAATAGATCACGATTATCAGTGATTCCTGTGTAAGATATACAGTCAGATTTCTAATTTTTAATTACAACGCGTAACTCCGCATTCGTTATAGAAATAATAATAATAATAAATCAGTATATAAGGTCACCTGAATATATGGAATATTATTATTATTATTATTATTTTAACACATAGATATTGGTACAAGGAGGCACCAAATACATATGCGCCACACAAATCTCAATTGATTTGTGTGAGGGCTGTGATACTGCCCGGGTGCCCAAACCGAAGCAGGTATATGGAATAACAGGAATAGGTAATAAAGATTTTAGGAGAGAGGTTCCACTGTTCATTTCTAGCAACCAAGTGACCATGCTAACATAATCCCATTCATTTTCCTTTTATTTGTGCTAACATTTCGTCTTATAGATAGTGATAGGAACTTCGGAGAAAACTGGCTAGTCAGGCAGCTAAAGGTGTTTATAACCTATGTATCATAATAGAAATCCAATATAGTTGGATTTATGTTAAAGCTGGGCGCTGAGAAATAAATATAAAGGAATAGTTAAGTGCTTTTGTCGTCTGCGATAATACTTCAGATACAATATACAAAATAATCAACTGTATAGTATGACTGGGGACCCTAGACCGTGATACTAGGTAATGAAAACACTAGACTAAATGGTACAGAAATATTCACTATCCATGACCAACAATTGTAAACCAGATAACAGATCAGAACTACAATTTATTGGGATGAAATATGCATCAGTCACTATGTAAAATCCGAATATAGTGAAAGTATAATTCTTGTAGTGTCTGTCATTATGTTAAGCTCAAATACCTCATTATTCTAACTTTCGGACAGCTCATTCTATTTGAGTCACATTCTGACCTTGTTTAATTATTCGCTTATCAATGTCTTGACTGTCTTTATATGAGCGCGTAGGCGTATGCACACTTCTTATCCCGTTACTCATCACATGTCTGTAATTTATTTTTGTGGGCTTATAAATATTGATTAACTCTTTGTTAAAGGGGGAGTTGGCTTACCAGCCATCTCCACCGCTCGTCAATTTTGCTTCGCTTTCTCATCTTCGCATCGTTCCTCCGTTCGTTTGTCTAATCAACAATTATACAAAATATATGCATTCAAAACTCCATTCTCGTTATTTGACTTATTTAATCCCGTTATTAACTAACGCGATTTAAGTCAATGATTATATACGAGGATAGACGATAGCAACCAATCATTACGATCAAATTTGAGTCAGATCACGGGCCACTAAAATGGTGATCCCGCCACCACAAGCAAACACAACAGGCTACTAAAGTCTATTTGCTTGGTACTCGTTTACCTTTGCTTAATATCCAATCAAATCTTACTTTTACTATGGAAACATCAAAATTCACCATTGAGAATGCTAGTGTGGAATCCTAAAATGTTTATTCAAATGGGCCGTAGATTTGTTTTACAATTTGGCTGAATCAGTCGTTGCTGTTAATTTAACTATCTATTAGTCAACCATACCAAAATAGAATAATGATTTTAACCAACACCTGATGTTTAGTGCAATAGAGTATACATAGTATACTGTAGAATCATGAAGAGATGACGCAACTCAGTGGCTTGAGACATTATCAGAAATAGGTTAGAACAAAAACGAATGACGATCTTGCTATAGTTCCCTATTACACTCTTCGAAAAAGTAGATTAATAGATTTATCCCTGCTCATTTTTTTCAAGATTTGAATTACTTCTTATGATATTTCCTTATTCTGATTATATCCACCCTACATCTATCACTTCATAACCTCATTTCCTTGTTTGTGTGCCGTATATATATTCTGGTACTCATTTGTACCAATGTCTGGATTAGTCGTACGGTAGATAAAACCCAATCGTCTCGAGTGATCAGTCGCACAGCTTAGGTTTGATCTCGTCTACATTTGACAGAAGTTGTAGGCGTTCGAATCTACTACCCTAGTATCCAGAAGAAATCCGTGACACTCCTGCTCCTTTCTTAGATTGGTTTGATTTAGTAAATGATTTTAATGTTTTGCCCAGATCCTGTACTTGTTTCTCATTCGTCACCTTTCATTTGTGTTCTTCGCTATCTGATTATTTACAACTTTTATTACGTAATCTCAATAACTCTTTTGTGTGATTATTATTTTAAGATCTATTTAACCAGGTTTGATCTACTTCCTATTTTCAACCATTGGTTAGAAATGTTATTATTTTAGTCACTACTAGTACACCTGTCTTTTAACCATCATCAACCTGAACTTTTCATCTATTACGGATAATTATATGGTCTATTTCATTGTGATCACTAACTTAAAATTTTTTTGATCTGATTTCCTCATATACCCCTATAGATATCCATGTTTATTGGGGTAACGCCTGATGACGATCTAAATGCGAACAATATTATTCACTTTAATGTGTTGTCCGAATTAAAATAAATAAATATAGAAAGTGAAACGTTAATCAGTAGCAATAGTTTATTTATTAATATCTATTAAAAAAGTAACCAACTAAATGCTATTACATTACTGGGTTAGAATTATAATTTGTACACAGTAGATTGTTTAATGCGTTCTATTTTGATGGATAAGTTAGTTCAAACAAATAACGAGGCGTAGTAAATGTATAACGTTGTTCACTTTCGCCAAAACGATGCATCAAGGGAGAGTTTCTGTAACATTGTATCAAACCATCCTTTAATTGCTGACATTGGTACAAGAGGATCAGATGTTGAATTATCACGTGCAAAACTAGCAACATAATTAAATAAACTTTCAGCTGCGAATCGAGTGAACTGAGTCATCCTATCAGCAGAAACTGATGATTCAGGAGTGATCTCTTCTGTTTGTTGTGGCAAATTTGTTAAAAGATCAACAGAAATTCCAATCTGAGCAGGTACAACTCCATTTGAGTATTGAAAAGAGGCATTAGTGCCAAATGGGTGTATAACATTTTGAAGTTGTGCATCTTAAAAAGATAAATAAAAATTAGGACGAAACTAGTTAACCGTTAAAAATTACTAACAACTTATCATCACTGTCATTTTGTAAACGTTTCTGGAGATTGAAAACGATTTACAGATTCAAGTATGTGTAAACCCATTAATACAGAAGTGTGGAGCACGTAAAATTGATGTATCACATTGGATGACTGGTTGGTGTCATGTAATACCAAAAAATTAAATCACTCTTATCCAAATATTATCATTTGATCATTCTTTTTTTTATTTAAAAACATGAACATTGGTACAAGGATGCACCAAATAGATATGCGCCACGTAAATAATTTGACATGTGTGAGGGCTGGAGTACTGCATGGCTGCCCAAACCGAAGCAGGTGGTTTCTTAGGGGCCACACCCGGAGCCTTCGACCTAAAGGTCTAATCCACAAGGTAGCTATGTCCCGATAAGCATAATGAATGGTAACTTTTAGGACCCATTTATAGATCAATATTATGTGTATATTTTTATCGTATAATTATTATGTAACTAGACTATTCGAATTCATGTCCCTCTTATCATAATCTTTACTTTGACCTATGAACTATTATTTTACAATTTACCATTCTTGAATTATGCCGTCTATGAATTACTGCCTCCCACACTCACAGCCACATTTGGCTAAATCTTCCGCAAATGTTATTTCCCATTTTCTGGTACAATGTAGTCCGTTTGGTTGGTATATAAAATGTATGTTTGAAATAAACGATTCATATAGCAGAGGCTGAGATTGGTGTTCTGGACTTAACTGGCTGGACTAGGCAGGAAGCAGGACCGATAAGTACTCTAGACTGCTCGTACGGGTTTTGAGGGTCATTGGCTCGAACGATAATTCACTGCTCTCTAATTGGCGGTATCATTACGTATACATGAACAGGTCACAAGTTATAACAGCAGTGGAGCAACGTCAGGAGATGCAGTCCCATGATAGCCGGTGACCAACAATAGGCTCACACGCCGTTTGTTCCTTCAGGATACTGGAGCCATTTGTTTGGAATCAGGGTTTTCCAACTCCCCTAGATGAACCCTCCGTGTCCACCAACCCGATTAAAGCGCCGGACATTCGCTTCTCATCCTCTCAATTTCGTGAACAACACCCCCGCCACGAGAAGGCAGTAAGTAGGACTTCCCTGCCAGAGGCTATATACGCGTGGCCATGTGAGAGCATTTCGAGAGGGAGGGCGGGCCCACCCCACTCTCGGCCGTACCAGGGCATTCGGGGGCACATCTCAGTGAGATGGTTTGCGCAACGTATTGAAAACTGTGGCAATGATGTTTGCTTGTATGCGTTTCCTTTCAATTTGCCTGCCTATTGATTTATCTGTTAATCGTGTCACATTGTTCTACTGATCTAATAATAAAAACACGCACATACTTTAAGAAAGCTAGTGCTTTCGTACTTGTTGTGTATTTATTGCACCAAAAGCATGCTTGGTCTACTTTAACTTGGATTATTTCAGTTAAGATTTAAAATTATCTCCAAATCCGTCTTGTAATACTTTTTAGTTGACTCACACTAGTGATTATCTTGTGTAATTTTTTTCGATATTTTTTACCCTTTTATTCTGTTTACAATGGTCGGCTGTACTTATAAATGTTTTTTCTCTGTGAAGGAAAGAATGCAATGTGATGAGTGTAAAAATTGGTTCCACACAACAGATGTACCTATTTAGGTCCCACCGCATCAGTCAGTCAGTCAGCTGCAACGTAGGACCAGGCACGTATATGCATCGGTCCAAGTTGCCATACCGCATTAGCACAACAAGATGAACACCGGATTCATAGGACTAGTTCATTCAGTGGTGGTAATATATAGAAGAAAGATTGTGTATAAGGAGATAGTAAAGAAAGAAAGAATTAGTTCCTAGACAGATATGGAGCGATTTTAATCTCTTAATTTAAGGAAGACAGAGAGTGTATACACCGACGCCATTGTGATCGATTCTGAGCCATGTCACCAAGAGTCTCCAACCATTGGTTACGATAGTCACGCGGACCCCAACCAGGTAGTCTGCATCTACCAACATGGCTCAGACCAGAAGTTAGTGACTTCAAGCACTGATGCCACGTTTTGGTTTGGCCGCCCCCTAACTTTCTTCCAATTATCCCCTGCACTAGTCAGCATTGCGCGTCGTGGTAATCGGTGTTCAGGCATACGCAACACGTGGCCTCAACCATCTCAGTCGATGAAGATTCATAACCTCATCAACTGATTTACCATCATTCCCTAGTACCCTGCGTCTAACCTCACTATTACTTACCCGGTGATCCCAGCAGATACCCGCAATATTTCTAAGGCACCTGTGGTCAAATACTAGTAACTTACGAATATCTTCCACTCTTAAAGGCCATGTTTCGCAGCCGTATAGAAGGACGGAACGAACTGCCGCGCAGTATACTCGTCCCTTAATTGATAGACGGATATCTCGCCTTCGCCATAGATGACGTAAGTTGGCAAAGGCCAAGCGAGCTTTTCGAATCCGTGCTGAGATTTCGTCAGACACCAACCCATTAGGGCTGATCAGACTTCCAAGATAAGTGAAGTTGTCAACGCGTTCGACTACTTCACCCCCTATCCTTAGTTCAGGTGTTGATGCAGACCAGTCCTGAAGCAACAACTTGCATTTAGAGGGAGAAAAGCGCATCCCAAACATTCCAGCATTGTTGCTCAGTGCTACCAAAAGACTCTGCATTTCATCAGCGTCTTCACCAAACAGGACTATGTCATCTGCGTATTCTAAGTCAATAAGTGGACCTCCTGGTAGGAGATCAATACCCGAGAAGTCAGTCGACGAGAGCGTTATTTCCATCAGGATGTCTATGATAAAGTTAAACAAAAAAGGAGAAAGTGGACAGCCTTGACGGACGCCACTTGAGGTTGCAAAAGCAGATGACAGTTCGCCATAGGCTCTGACCCGACTAGTAGTGTTCGAGTAAAGAGCCTTCACAAGGTTTATGTACTTCTGAGGTACGCCTTTCAATGACAGACACTGCCACAGAACCTCTCGGTCAACAGAGTCAAACGCTGCTTTTAAGTCAAGGAATACCACCATTGTCGGACGCCGATAAGTATGCCTGTGTTCTAGAACCTGACGAATGGTGATGGCATGATCAGAGTCCAAGCAGGTACCCCAGAATGAGCGACAATCTTCTATTGACCCTCTCCAACGATGACTGATGGCAATATGGTCTATTTGAGTCCATCGTTGGTTTGGTGCAGGGGGTCGCCATGTTAGACGATGTCTCTCCTTATGCTTAAAATTTGTGTTTGCTAAAAATAAACGATTGTCTGAGCACAGTTGCAGCAGACGATCACCATTATCTGTTCGCTGTGCCGGAATACTAAAATACCCACCTAAATGTCTTTCTGTTTTGTTTAAGCTACCTACCTGGGCATTAAAGTCACCTCCTACGAGTACTATGTCTGAACGTTTAGCTTTCTGAAGAAGTTCAGACAGCTTTCTGTAAAATTCATCTTTCACTTCATCCGAACTGCAGTCAGTGGGAGCGTAGGCAGAAACGACGAAAAGGCAACGACGTGTGTCCCTATCCTTCCGAGTTCTTACGGAGCCGTTTAACCGAACAGCGCATAGACGACTGTTAACGGGGATCCACTCTAATAGCGCTTGTTCCGCCCTCATGCTAAGTGCTATGCCTACACCTGCCAGTCCACGAGAACTAGCCATCGGGTCGCCAGATACACGGAGGGTGTATCTCGTTGGCTCTCCGTTTTGCCGAGGTGAGGTCAAGTGAATGACCACACTAGGATCCTGTATGCGTGTTTCGGAGACACAGCATACATCAATGGTACGAGATTCTAAGGTTTTAGCCAAGGAAGCCTGCTGACCGATTTGGCATAGTGTGCGTACGTTGAAGGCTCCAATGTATAGTTTGGAGCGAGGTTTCAGTAGACCTGGGACAGTGTTTTGAGCACTAGAATCGTTGGCTGTGGTGACACTTGAGGAGGAAGCTAAAAGAGGAAGTTTAGTGTATAAAGTCGATGTAGGAGGAATAATAGGAATTGAAGAGGGAAGTTGACTATGAATACAGTGGTCTTGAGTGCTGTTAGAGGTATGAGGGCGGTTATCACTTCCCGGTTGCCCACACCGTGGAAGGGTTCTTCTGGAGGTACCTGAAAAGGAAATTGGATTAGAGTTGGTCATAGTGACCTGAGAGCGTGACCGCAGTGCCCAAGGGACAGCTGCTTGAGGTCGGTCACACACGACCTTTTTATGAGTGATTTTTGTGTTAGCTCCGTACTTGTTGAGTCCTTACCGCCGGAGACGGATATCCGTGGGATAAGGCGAGGTGTGCATTTTTAGGGTCGACCTTTTCTAACCCCACCCCTCCTTGTGGGAAGGCAGCATCGCTGTCATGCTGGTTGTCTGAAGGAAACACCTTACTGCTGTCACACCTCTGTACAGTTTTATTATTTATTTATTTTAACACATAGTCAGCAGTACGACTTCGCCTTCGGACCTTGGTTTTGTTGCTTTTAGTCTTACCGCTCTTCAACCGACCTGTCTGGCATGGTAGGACCTTGAGGAACGGTTGTTCCAGCCAGTATAGCTCAGTTGCTTCATCACGATAGGCAAGCCCGACCACCACGTCAAGGTAGCAACAACGGTCATACAAAATATGCTCAAAGACTAACTCCCATTGGTTTTGTATGACATTGCTGAGCTAGGAGGTGATGAGCCTTCTGATTTTGATCAGCAATAAAGTTGAAGGTGAGATGGTGAAGATTTGTATATAAGGTGGATTAATTTGATTGGTGTTTTGTTCTCTGATCTTTTGATACGGGAAAATCCATTGATGTTGGCAAGAAGTGATATTGCAAAAGCTGAAGCTTTATCGTAGTAAAGTGTATCCTACCGACGATGGTGAAAGAGCAGTATTCAGTCGTGATAATGGCAGCTTTCCCGTGAATCCTGTGGTTATTACTTTAACATCTCAAAGTTCAGTGGTCCTGACGATGTTTATGCTAGGATTATGAAAGCCATGGTCATACTGTGGCGTCTTTGCGAGAATCCAGATTGCCAAAAGAATGGAAGGACACTAATCAGTCCGGTTTATAAAGCGGGGAGTAGACTTAGTGTTGTTGTCAAACTAACGTGAAAGATCATTCGAGTTACTTCTTAAACTAGATGGAAGGGCACAATCTTTTATCTAAGGAACAATAAAGTTTTAAAGAGAGACTATCATGCTTGACAAATTCACTCATTGAAAGAGATTGAGCTTCAGTGAAAGATAGGAATATTTCGGTAGATGTAATTTTTAAGGATCTAAGCAGAGATTTTGGCAATGTCATCTGAGTCTCAAATTAAAACTAGAAGGCTTCTAAATCCATTATGGACTTATAAACTGGACAAATGACTTTTTCAATGATATGAGACAGTGGGTAAGAGCAAATGGGTCTCTATCGGTGTGGGGACCTTTAAAAGGTGAAAATCTTGGTTACAAAGCCAAGATAGATTGCGCTACAATGTTCACAATCCAACTCTCTAATTGTTATTTCAGGCAAATAAAATGAAAGGCAAGAAAGCACGCCTAAACATGCCTTTTACCATATGACGCCTGCTACCAACGTAGAAACAGAAGTATCAAGACAACACAAAGCCAAACTACTTCTGGCACTAATGAAAGCCAAAATTCATGGAACAAAATACAAAAGAAGAGATAAAACTAACTTTTAGCAAGTTTACCGACTTTATATATTGCGCTAGGCTTCTCGTTCGTTATAACACCAAGAAAGTACCAGTTAGGAACCCCATTTTCCTGAATCCCCAGATAAACTAGAAACAATTGCTGCAAAAATCCTATCGTCTTACCCCCACCACCCATATTTGGCGGAAAGACAGTTTCTCCTGTTAGAAACACGACAATATGATTTACATCATTTAAGGGTAGTAAATCCAGAAGAAACTGAGACTCCGATACGTTATTAAAACTTGTTTGTACCTAAACTTTGATGTGAATGAGGATCGAACGCACTGGTCTTCCAGCAACCAATACTGCAAACATCACGACCAGAAAAACATGGCACGGGAAAAACGTCAGACTCTTTCAAATCAAGAGTAGTAGCGCAAAAGTTCATACAGTGAGTCCTTTAAGTCCAATATTTGTGGTATGAAAATGTGTCAACTAGATAGTTTTTTTCCTGATGTACCAACACCATTTCAGGTCTTCGATGGTTTTCCGCATGAGAAATATAAACAGTTGTAGTATAATTTTGTAAAAGAGCATATTCTAGACAACATATTCAATGCTACTAATAATATACAAATGGAATGATTAACTCTGCAAGACATATATCAATGAGAAAGGCAAAACTGTGAAAAATGACGCTTACAAAAAATGATATGTTTAATAGCAAAATGATAAATGTTATGAAACGAATTTTACTTGAAGATAACATTCACAAATCAGTCCACTTTATTATCGAGAATTCCATTGGCACCACCCACTGATGGAGGCTAATGAGTGCTTAACGTGTTTTAGGACTAGTCTTCAATGGCTTTACAGTATTGCGACGATAAGCCAGTTGGGACAATTTTGAGACCAGCCTGAAAAATGTACATAAGGTAATAAGACCTCTATAATTAACAATTATTTATAGATCATATGCACACCAAGTATATTGTATGGATAGTTATAACCTGCTTATTTTACAACTGATTTTTTCTATCAGGTCTTATAATTGGATCTTTGTAGTTGCTCGTACTTCACCAAGTTAACATGGTTTATTCTAGCTCCTAAAAAGACCAATTTATCCTATCTTCTCAAGTCTTATTTCTACTTTTCTCATTATATGCTTATTAAATTACTTACTTACTTACTTACTTACGCCTGTTACTCCTCGTGAAGGAGCATAGGCCGCTCACCAGCATTCTCCATCCAACCCTGTCCTGGGCAATCCTTTCAAGCTCTTTCCAGTTCTTATTCATCTTTTTCATATCTGCTTCTATTTCCCGACGTAATGTGTTCTTTGGCCTTCCTCTTTTCCGCTTCCCTTCAGGATTCCAAGTTAGCGCTTGTCTCGTAATGCAGTTTGATGATTTCCTCAATGTATGACCTATCCATTTCCATCGTCTTTTCCTAATTTCCTCTTCAGCTGGAAGCTGGTTGGTTATCTCCCACAAAAGGCTGTTGCTGATGGTATCCGGCCAATGGATGTTGAGTATCATGCGTAGACAGCTATTAATAAATACCTGTACCTTCTTGATGGTGGTTGTTGTAGTTCTCCAAGTTTCAGCTCCCTACAGTAGAACTGCCTTGACGTTCGTATTAAAGATTCTGACTTTGATATTGGTTGAAAGTTGTTTTGAGTTCCATATGTTCTTCAGTTGAAGGAATGCCGCTCTAGCTTTGCCAATCCTCGCCTTGACGTCTGCATCTGAACCTCCTTGTTTATCGACGATGCTTTCCAGGTATGTGAAGGATTCCACGTCTTCCAGAGTTTCGCCATCAAGAGTGACTGGATTGCTGTTCTCCGTGTTGTGTTTGAGGACCTTGGTTTTCCCTTTGTGTATGTTGAGGCCTACTGATGCAGAGACTGCTGCTATGCTGGCTGTCTTTATCTGCATTTGTTCGTGTGTATGTGATAGGAGGGCTAGGTCATCTGCGAAGTCCAAGTCGTCTAATTGGTTCTGAGCTGTCCATCGTATGCCGTAGTTTCTCTCAGATGTCGAGGTCTTCATAATCCAGTCGACCACCAGAAGAAACAGGAAGTGAGAGAGTAGACAGCCTTGTCTTACTGCGGTCTTTACTTGGAATGCGTCTGTCAGCTGTCCTCCATGCACTACTTTGCACTGTAGTCCGTCGTATGAGTTCCGGATAATGTTGACAATCTTCTCAGGAACTCCGTAGTGTCGAAGAAGTTTCCATAACGTCCTCCTATCTACACTGTCAAATGCCTTCTCATAATCAATGAAGTTGATGTACAGTGACGAGTTCCACTCAATTGATTGTTCGACGATGATCCGTAGTGTCGCAATCTGGTCTGTGCACGACCGGTCCTTATGGAATCCAGCTTGTTGATCTCAAAGTTGAACGTCTACTGCGTCTTTCATCCTGTTCAGTAACACTCTGTTGAAGACTTTACCTGGTATTGACAGTAGTGTAATGCCTCTGTAGTTTTCACACTTGCTCAGATCTCCTTTCTTTGGAATCTTGATGAGGTGTCCTTCTTTCCAATCCATCGGCACTTGTTCCTCCTCAAAAATCTTCTTGAATAGAAGATGAAGCATGCTTGTAGTTACTTCGATGTCTGACTTCAACGCTTCAGCTGGTATATTGTCAGGTCCTGCTGCTTTCCCGCTCTTGATTTGTCTGATGGCCATTCTGATTTCTTCTGTCGTTGGTGGATTGACATTTATAGGAAGATCTGTGTGTGCTGCTTCGATGTCCGGTGGATTCATTGGAGCCGGTCTGTTCAGGAGTTCCTCGAAGTACTCTTCCCATCTGTTGCGCTGTTGTTGAATCTCAGTGATTGGTCTTCCTTCTTTGTCTTTGACTGGTCTCTCTGGTTTACTACATTTCCCTGCAAGCTTCTTCGTCGTATCGTAAAGCTGTTTCATATTTCCTTCTCTTGCAGCTTTTTCCGCCGTCGTTGCTAGTTCTTCCACGTATTTTTGCTTATCAGCTCTAATGCTCTTCTTCACTTTCTTGTTTGCTTCTATGTACTCTGCTTGTGTTTGGACTTTCTCTGCTCTTGTTCGACTGTTGTTAATTGCTGTCTTCTTGTTCTTTCTTTCTTTGATCCTGTCCAGTGTTTCTGTAGAGATCCATTCCTTGTTATGATGTTTCTTGGGGCCCAGAACCTCTTGACACGTTGAAGTTAATGTTTCGTTGATACCTTTCCAGCTATCCTCCATAGCAGTTTCTTCTTCTTCTTTCAGTAGATCCTATAAGGCTTGTAACCTGTTTTTGAGTGCTATCTTGAATTCATTGAGTTTGTCAGTATCTCGAAGGAAGGCTGTATTGAACCTTTGTGGTGCTGTTTGTCCAGTTGTCCAGTTCTTCTTTAGGTTCAGTTTCAATTAGGTCACAACCGGGTGATGATCTGAAGCTATGTCCGCTCCTCTCCTGGTTTTCACATCTTCCATTGTCCTTCGGAACTTTTTATTGATGCAAATGTGATCTATCTGGTTCTCTGTGGTGTGGTCCGGTGAGATCCACGTAGCTTTGTGTATACGTTTGTGTGGAAATGTTGTACCGCCTATGACCAATTTATTGAATGCACACAGATTTGCAAATCTTTCCCCGTTTTCGTTTTTCTCTCCCAGTCCATGCAGTCCCATGATGTCTTCATATCCGGTGTTGTCCATTCCGACTTTGGCGTTTAGATCTCCCATCAGAATGGTGAGGTCCTTTCTTGGGCACTTCTCTATGATTGATTGCAGTCTCTCATAGAATTGATCTTTAACGTCGTCGTTGCTATCATTGGTAGGTGCATAACATTGGATAATGTTCATTGTGATACCCTCCTTCTTTGTTTTGAATGATGCTTTGATGATTCTTGATCCGTGAGATTCCCATCCTACAAGTGCATTTCGTGCTACTTTGGATAGCATTAGAGCAACTCCCTGAGTGTGTAGAGCATTTTCCTCTTCGTGACCGGAGTATAGCAGCATCTCTCCCGTATTTAGCCTTCGTTGTCCAGCTTGGGTCCAATGGGTTTCTCTGATTTCCAGTACTGCCAAGTTGTATCTCCTCATTTCCGTTGCTATTTGACTGGTCTTCCCGGTCTCCCACATTGTCCGGACGTTCCATGTACCTATAAAAATTGTTGCTCTGGTTGTTAGAAGGGGCGTCGGCCTCGTGGCTTCCGAAGGAACTCGGCTTTCCCCATGAAGCGTCATATTACCTCTAACTCCCAGGGCAGGGTTTAAATGGTTTGAGTTATTTTTTCTGGTTAGCGTTTTTTTAGCGAGTTAGGTTTCTACGGGATGGGGATGCTAACCCCATGCCCAACCCTCCTCCTTTACCCGGGCTTGGGACCGTCAGTAACTCTGGAAGAGCTACAGGCGGAGTTTTATTAAATTACGCTTACTAACATAAGCGTATCGGTTGTGTGTGTCGGTTGTTTACCTCATTCATTGAGCATCTCTAACTTATTTCTGCCTGACTATAAGTAGCGAGTCAAGCTTGGCTAAATTGAGTTGGATCACACTCTTTCTCTGGTGTGAGTCGATTCGTTTTTCTTTTTCTCAACCTCTGTATTCAGTACACTGTCAGACAGACATAGGATGAAATTAGGAAGACGTAAGGTCGGTGACGGAAACTTAGTCTGTAAATTTAGCTGTGGCAGATGTGGTGTTTGTGTGAATTAAGAACTCCTTTGTACTGGATGTCTGCTGGATTTTAAATTCCAAATACTATATGTTCGTCCGTGCTCATCTAGTACTTGTTGATTAAATTGTGTTATTTCAGAGGTTCCTAGTTTGTACTATAATTCAAATACTCCTACCACAGTATATCATGTAGACAATTATGTTTAAGCGTATCCGAAGTGTATTTTTTTGATAACAATCATCGTACGATCTAAATAGACTCAGATAATGACACCACAATAATTCCATGTCAGTACGTGAAAGGGACGAAAATGACCCGACTCGGAAGTGTTTTTTTCGACAGTTATGTCAATACATAGAAACTTAAACTCATTGCATCGGACTCAAATGCTTGTTTCCGGAATGCAAATGATGATAGTGGTCAACATTCTTTCGTAAAGCATCCACCCTCTAACTCTCCATCATAACTTAAACAGCGAAGATGGCGTTGTCTATCTACGCATGCTTTAGTTGAAATGATTCATCCTCCAGGTCTAAATATTGCCACCGCCGAACTGGGTTTTAGGTCCATGCAGAAAATGGTTATCTAAAACCGTGAACAAACATCCTCGCACGAAAAAAATATGTTTCTGTAGATCTTTCGAGACACAGTGGTCGTCAAGTGAAAGATTATATTTAAGACCGTCTCTAATGAATAATAAGCCAACAAGATGCTTACCAAGGAAGACATTGCCAAGCTGCCGTCACAGTTGTACCCAAGTTGTTAGACGCATTTTCCAGTTAACTGAGTTTCGACTTGAAAATATCAACGAGATTTTACAGTGCAGCCAGTCAAGCACAGCAGTATAAGTATTCGCGCT